TGTTTCAAACAAGTAATTCCTCCCCTTTTCTCTTTCCATTTAATGTAAATACTCTCATAGAAGGACATTAGTGAATAATGTTTGTGAAAAGAAAATAGTTCCCAACCACAGCCAGACTTTTTTCTTTGTAAGGTAACTCAGTTGGTTTCTTGCAGACATGATCTTTTCTCCAGGTTTTAGGTGCTATCTCTTTGAAAAATTGGACTCTTTTAAAATCAACCAGTGCTTTAAAATGATCTGCAAAGAGTGGAAAATTAGATTTTCGATTAAAACCTTATCCCATCTCGAAGGATTACTTTATATTGATTCTTAAATATGGCTACAATTGATGGGCTCTAATTAAAAATCCAAAGGAAAAGTCTGTCATGTCCAAATAAAAGAAGCTTTTCATATACGGGAAATAAAGCTTGTAAAAGGTTACAAATAAAAGATTAGAGATTTATCCAAACTAGTTTAAAGCTTCACTGTGGTTTTCTTTTCTTCTTTTTTTCCTTTTTTACAAAACCATTCCTGGGTCTTTTTTCCCCAGTTTTAAATGAAGTTTGCAAACAGGCAAGATATTGGACTGTAATAGTTGTTTTATATCAGCTCTGTAAGCTCAAGCCGGCTGCCTGCAGTAGAATTGATTTCAAGGAAACCTAGTACCAGGAGATGAAAATTATGTAAACTGACAGCTAACACCCTTCATCAGTCTGTCCACATTCCCGTCCACACCCACCCAACACACACACACCCCAACACACACATACACACACACATTTACATTTCTCTGTCTCTCATACTCACACATGCCTTCCCTTTCCCCACCCTAGCCCTGATCTGCACACACCCTTGGTCCCCACACTTTTAGGAACAGAGGTCTGTCTAGCTCCCAGTTCACACACAGCTCATAAATGTCTCAGCCCTACGTCTCCCACTTGTCACACAATCTTAATCCGTTTCATTCCAGAACAACATGGTCCTCTTTTCCTCTTTTTCACATTTTGAATTTGCCTCCTACTCTTTTATGGAGACAGCACAACCCTATCTTTGAAGTTGTTTCTTTCTTCCTTACTTTCTTTCTGAGACATCCACAATACAGGGCAATGAGGGACCCGAGCTCATCATTGCTCCTGTTGCCTTATATTTCTCCCTGTGTTCTGCCTGCCTTGCCAATCTTAAACTCTTGTTTAAAAATAATTAAAGTTAATCTTGTCAAAATTTGTAATAAAGACATAGCTAAAAACCTAATGAAAAATGACTTCTTTCTAAACATCGGAGGCAGTTCTGAGGCAAGAGGTAGTCAGTCCCCCACTGTCTACTGAATCACTGAAAAGACTGGAAATTAATCTTCATATTTCTGAAGTAAGTGTTCAGGGAGTCTAACTACCTCCTTTCCCCCGAGAGGCTGTGTTCTCACGGAATATGTGTTTTGTTCTTTTTCTTCTTTTTTAATTAGCCTGGAAGAGTCCCGAGATCTCTCTCCTCCCCTTGCCTGCTCCCCGCTTCCACCATAGTTAATAAACTTGGAGGAAAGTTTGGCATATTTGGAACTGGCCTGCTATGTGGGTAAAGAAAGCAAGCCAGTTCAAAACATGAACATAGATTTTTAAATATGCATATCAGCCATTTTCTGGGAACGACATGCAAATGCTCACAAATAATTTTATTTCCACATATTCATTTTAAGTTAGCTTCGGAATACTTATATTTCATATGCATAGCAAAGTAATTGTATATCTGGCCATTAAAAAGCACCCACTTGTTAGTGAAAATTATTTAAAAACTCAAAAGCATGTTAACATAACTCAGATTCATCAAAAAAGAACAAAAAGACACAGGTCACAGATGCAAAAATGGAAGTTAAACAAGAACTGAGAAAATAGAACATACAGAAAGCAGGTATGTCAGAAGTTCAAGAACTTACTGAAAATCAGTACTTAGACTTCTCATCCAAATAGTCTTTAGCTCCCACCAAGTGCCTGAGGTTTTCACTACACCCTCCCAGTCACCCCCATGCCCAAGCCAGTGGCTTTTGTCTTGACCTAGAGTAGGGTTCGTGGGGACTGTACCTGAGCCGGGGCTGTCTGCAATTTCCAAATTGACAAGAAGAGACTGGAAGATAAAGAGCGTGTTCTTACAGGTGAAGAGCAATTTTGCAACTTTTCCAGGAGACACCCAGAAGGAAGCTTGCCTGCTACCAACTGCTGCAGAGTCTGGGCAGAATTCCTCTAAAAAGAAAAAAGAAAGTCTTTTTTCCCCCCCTCCCTGTCTGCCTCTCTCTGTCTCTAGTTCTTTCTCCTCTCTGTCTCTCTCTCTCTGTCTCTCTCTCTCTCTCTCTCTCTCTCTCAGATCCAATCTTTTAAGAGCTTGAGCACATTGCTAAGCTAAAGGGAAATTCTCTTTGATAAAGCGGTGTTTCCAGCTTCTGGGTTTTAAAACCTAAATCTATATTCAAATCTGGCTGAAGGTGTGTTCTGGGATTTATGAAAGCCTCTTAAAGGGGTAAATTTACCAAACCGTGACAAAATCATCACAATCTTACTTTAGACATCTGAAGTGGATGAGAATTTTAAAGAGACCCTTGTTTATTTAACACTATCCATTTCCAACTGGCAGTTTATTGGCCTCTCATTTCTGCGAAGTTATTAGATTAGAGGGCAAAGGAGAAGCGGGAGCTGTCGGCTCCGCGCCCCAGGATGGGGAGAAGTCCTTTCACGCCCCACGGCGCCAAAATCCGCTTCAGTCAGACCGAACCAGGCACTTTTCAGAGGACATCACCAAACCTCTACCACGGGCTAGAGGGGTTTCCCAGGACTCTAGACCCAGCAGATAGATCTTTCAGTCTAAAGCATTTCACTTATTTCGTGGTGATGGCAAGCGCGTGTTCAGGTATTTTTCCACTCTGCCCCACCCCACCCACCCATTCCCGCTGTCCTCAAGGTCTCCCTCCCGCACTTTCCCTTCACAAGACCTACAATGCCCATCTCCTCGTTTCTCCTTTTTGATGCTTTAAACATCACTGTGATTAAACACGTAGGAATATTGGGAACAGGGTAGGAAGAAGACGCCGGGACAAGGGACCGAGGTGGGTTTGCCAACCCCTTCCTTCATCAAAAACATCGCTATTCTGTCCAAGCGCTCCCCAAGAGCGCCTCGGACTACATGCACCCTGCGGGCCAAACAGCCTGGGGCACCCCCCTCCCAAATTAAAGGCCTGGGTGGCTGTCGCCAGGTGCTTCAGTGCAGTGGGGGCGGGGTGAGAAAAACAGGTCTGTACTCACCCTGCCCCCACCCTAGCCCAAGCCCAAGCCCAAGCCCCCAGAAAGTCGCTACTCCTGGGAACGTGACAGCAAGCGGATCTCCTCGCACCGGAGCGGCCGCACAGGGCCGAGGAGGAGTGGCTAGGGCCCCAGGTCGCTCCGGGACTCGGGAGGCCATTAGGGCCCAAGGCTCCAAAGATTGCTTCGAGCCGGGCCGCAGCCGCGGTGCACCTAGCCCCAGCAGGAGCCGAGCACTGCGCATCCCCGCTGCCGAGCGCTGGCTGCGGAGCGCGCACTCCCATAATTCGTTAATTGCTGTAAATCCCAAGGACGGCCACATTTGATTACACATACTATATAAGAACCGACAACAAAGCGACGAATTAATTACCAACTTCATTAACATAGGTTCCCAAATTAAAGACAGCGAGCTGTTTCTTTGGGCCCACTTGCAGTGGTGGTGGTGGTGGTGGTGGTGGGGAGGTGTTTGGGAAGAGATCTTTTTTCTTTGGGAGTTGTATGGGAAACTCTGTCTTCAGCTTTGCCCCCTTCTTCGTCTCCCACTCCCAAGTTCTCAACCGCTCAACTTGTGCTCCCCGCCTCCCCCATACTCCGCCCAACCTGTGCCTGTTTGTCCAGGGCCCCAAATCTACGTGAAAACTGTTCGTTCACTGCTCTTTGTGCCAGGCGGAAAAGTTGGGCTAGTGTTCGCCATCGCCTGGTCCCGACACTTCTCAGCCTCCCGGCTCCCGGCCTCAGGCTACGGCGGCGCCAACTCAGTTAGCTCCAGGCTCGCACCTTGTGTATTTGGTGGCGTTTGTTGTAATTCAGAAACGTTTATTGTTTCTAACGGGGGTCTCGCGTAATCCCTTACTCCCCCGGTATCCTGCCAATCCCACATTCGCACCGGGGAGTTCTCCCCAAACTGGGCCCAGGGTTAGATTTCAGGGGTCGTGGTTTTGCCAGACTTTACAGGGGTTCTCAACTCCAAACCTTGGATGGAGCCCGGAAGCCCAGGTCTGTAGTCCCGGATCAGGGTATATATTAAGAGGGAGCGAAGAGAGCCAGAGGCTGGAGTTTTGGTTTGTTCTTGGACTTCTGTATCTGCCGCATCCCTACGCGCGCGCCTCATTCCCAGACCTTCTTTTGCCCTTTCTGGCCCTCAGCGTGGTCTGACCCTGCTTGAGACAGCATAGTGGTATTTGTAAGCTCCGGTCTTTGACTTGCTTTCTGCCTTTTGCAGACCCTCCTGACCAGCCTTGCGAGCGATAACATAGCCATTCCCCTCCCCCACCCTTCTCCAGCCTTTCCTTAAATAGTTTTATCTTCCCATCTTACATTGGTTGGGTTTCCTTTCTTCTAGTCCTTAAAACCCAAAAAGAAAAAGAAAGGGGGTGGAGTGGGGAGGAAGGCAGTAAAGGTGGGGAAGGAAGCAGTAAAGGAAGAAAAAGAAGAGGGAAAGACGGTAAGGCGAAGCCTCCCTGTCCATCATATTAATTATACAATTAGTTCACATGCTCCAGTCCAGAATGTATATTTTAAGCGAAGCCCAGTGTCTTTCAAGAACATTCTGGTAATGTCGGAGGCCTGGATTTGTAGCCTGCTCGTCCCCTGTGCAGCGGAGGCCTGTTTTCCTCCCCCTGTTGTGTGTTTTTATTATTTTCCCTCTGGCTTAGATGTGTCAATCATTCTCTCCCTGCCATTGGTTGGAGAGTTTGCGTCAAAAAGTTGCCAGAGAGGCGCTTTCTCAGCAAATCTCCCTGAGAGCGGGACCGACCTCAGCTGCAACTCAGCCTCCACTGTTATTAAAAATAAAAATCGCTAGAGCAGCCCTCGTCATCTCTACTTTGTATGTATCGCAGAGGGGACCACGCAAGTTTCAAACCCTAGCCGCTTTCCTCGTTTTCCGTTCTTAAAAATTTTTGGTGTTGTTGTGTTTGGCTTTTTATGGAAGGGTGAAGACTATAAGGTTTCTAACTCGATACTCTTGATTTCTTTTAGGATAGCTGGCTATTGGGAATTTTTGAAGGATAATTTGATTTTTTTTTTTTTAACTTCCTATGCGGCTATAAGGTAAGTGTCTGGGTTGTCTGTCCGTCCACATCTATGTCTATGTGTCCTGTCTGTCGACCGTACCCCCAGGACGGACCTCGAATACCACCAACCACCAACGCACCTCCGCAAATGTGGAGTTCTTTGGAAGGCTGATATGTTTCTTTTCTCTTTAACAATTTGAGGTGTAAGAACATTTGCTAAAAATTTATATTCATGGGGCTGGAGTGGGAGCGACAGAGCGCCTTCTGGGGCCGCCGCTTCGGCAAAACGTCGTCGGAAACGCTGCGAGTCCAATATGAGCTGTTCTGGAGTGTGTGTATGTGTGTGTGTGTATGTGTGTGTTGCCAACGCCGGTTCTGGACTTCCCCCTACGATCTTTGTGGTTTGGCCCTCAGTTTGAGTTGGGATCGTTTGAGCTGATCTCAAGGATATTTTTATAGTACGAGACAAAAAGATGTAGATAAATGGATGGATTAAGAATGATAAAAACAAGGTGGGCGCCTCCTCAGGCCGGCGCACGCGGAGCGACCGCCGCCCAGGTCCCTGCCGGCCCGGGTGCACGTGAGAGGGGCCCGGGCGGATGGTCCGGGGTGGGGGGCCTCCAGTCTGTTCGGTGCTCCCATTCCCTCTTTTGGGGGCCCCTCTCCGCAAGCCTAGAGCCGCTCACGGTTTTGTGGCTCTTCCTAAGGCCTCTAGGTCTTGCTTCTTTTGATCACTGCCTCCCCAAAGCCCAGGGCTTGCAACCTCACTCCCTCCCCTCCCCCCACACCTCCCCACACCAATTCTCGGGGTCCTAGACTCAGGTCACCAGGCCGAGCGAGAGAAGAATAGTGGTTTGGCGTCGTGACTTGGCGGGGTCTGGCCCCGGGTGCGCCCCTGGAGCAGGCGCAAGTGGCGGTGAGTGGCCCCAACTGGGCCCTATGCTGCGGCAGAGCCGGGGACAAGAACCATTCCGTTCAAGAAGGGCAGCTTCAGCTGTTTCCCTGCACAGGCAGTGGTGGGGTTCGGGGGCGTCGTGGGCCGGGCTGGGCCGGGGTCGCGGGTTAGCTGAGGCCTAGCCTCCTGGCGCGGGCAGCTCACTTAGACTAAGTGGAAGTCTTTACGAACAGAGGCCTCGGCGACTTCTCCAACCGCCAACTCCGAAGAAATCTTCGTGTTGATAGGTTCAAGTGCCTCTTGAAAATCCTGCGTCCGATTGAGGGGCTTTTCCTTAGCACAGACTGCGGGGGTGTGGGGACACCAGGCCGAACTGTGGATTACTTGGGAGGGGACCAGAAGTCTCTGCTGATAGTCTCCCATCTCTGAGCTCCGGGGACCAGCATTTCTCCATTCACCTCGGGACTTCCTCCAGTCGCTGAAAGTTATTAGCACAAGAGAGAAGTTGGGGGGTGAAACTCCTCCCCACAAAGTAAGGTAGCAATCTAGACCTCTCAGAGCTACAGCGCGGCTTCCTCCTAAAGAGAATGAATCGTCAAGGCCAACCCTTCTGGCATGTTTCTTCCTCCCTCCCTGGAGAAGGGCAGCGTTGTTTGAGTCCTTAACGCCAAAAACTTTCACTCGAGTTCACCCGAGAGAGACCAGAGTCGATTGTCTTCCGTGGGGCCCATGTCACATCTTTTTCTTTCTTTCCTCCTCCTCTTCGTCGTCTTTCCGAGCCGCAGGCTAGTCACTCGTCCCGGTAGTTTTGTTTCCTTTCCATCATGCAGAAAATTAATCAGCCCAGACGAGAAGCAGAGCTGAGCACGGCGGCCTGTAATTAAGGGACGTGTGCCCCCTCGGATTATCTCGTTAGTTTATCAAGAAAACATTTATTATAATTAATTCTCGGACGAGGTAATTATTATTGAGCGAGGACAGAGCAACTGGTAGATGGGCTCCTTGGAAGGAAAAAAAAAAAACAAAAAACCAAGGGGGGCGGGGAGCTAGGTGGGGGGAGAGCGACAGATTGCACGAATTGACCGTTAGATATAAGGCTGCGCGGGCCGGGGCGGACACTGGAGCAGGACCGCGGCGCCGGGACTGCGGGGCAGGACGCGGGGCTGAGCTACAAGCACCCGAGGTGCAGGCGCGGACCAGCTACGGTACTCGCAGCATCACCGCGCCGCCTACTCGTTCTAGGCACCAGTGTTCCAGAGGCCGCCTCGTGAGCAGTCTTACTGAGTCTTACATTTTTTTTAAACAAACAAACAACAACAAGGTATTTCTTTTCCCCTTCTGGTCTCTGCTTGGAGAGGAAGGGATAGAGGGGTGCTTGCAGAGCTTTAAAAGTTCAATGGAGAGGTCCGTGGGTTTTTCTTTGGAGGAGTGTATATACCTAGGCTTGCAGTTGAATACTTCGTTGTTTCTTTTTCTTCCTACTCTTTATAAGGGGGAAGCAAGAGTAAAAGTGAAAATGGTTTATCTCCAGATTATTAGACCTTTTGCATTGATAAGGGTAATGGAGCTCCAAGGAGGCTCTTTGCCCTCTTGCTTTTTGATACTGGAACTCACTACTTTCTTGTATGATATGTCAGGCTTTTTTAACTGGGTGATCGTCTTCTATCTAACAACTTTTCTGTATTTCTCATGTGTACATCTGATGAATTCAGTTTTCCCTGTAGAAGTTAAAAACTTTCTAAGGTAGTAAGATTTTTTTTTTTTTGAGAACTTCAATTTATAGAATACTTAAAGAAGGAGCTGTATTTTAAAGCACTATTATTTTCATGTTCTCCAAACAACTATTATGAAAAGAAAAGAGAATAAAAACCAATAACGGCTTTGTGGTAGGAGCAACTAAATTACTTTTACTGATGAAATAATATAAACTCCACGACTCATAGAATTGATTTATAAATGATTTTTATGGTATGATTTCAAAGCAAAAAGATGTTGCAGTAACCAAGTTCCCATTTGGTGGAACTTTGTTCCTTAATCTCTTAAGCAAGAAAAGCCCAGAATCCTCAAAACTCAGTCAGGAAAACCTTTGTAAAAGTAAGAGGGAAATTCTAATTTTGTATCCGTCATTTTGGAGCAATCTCTCACAGTGTCAAAGTTGCAAAGTAGAGATCCTTGCAGGGTAAGTGCCACAGTTTAGGAAATTATAGCCAAATTTGCAAACTGCCAGGCCTATATTAACATATCCATTTTGGATCCCTGCGCTTGGCGAGACTCAGCTGAAGAAAGCAAAGGACTCTTTTTTTCTTATAGGATTGTAGGGAGCTTGAAAGCTAGAAATTTAATTGGCTTCATAACTTTGTGTGTTTGTGTATCTCGTTGTTAACAACTAAAATATGCAAAAGGCACCTAGAGTTAACAGGAAACTGCTGCAGTTGCTGAGGACCCAAATGTCGGAAAATTTGCCTCCCATACGAACTGCAGCCTCCACACAACAGCATGGCAGCGGATTGCACAACAAACGCGCACCCTTTCTACTTGCAAATGTAGGGTCCTGTCATTATCTGACTATTGGGATTCTAACAAGCTTGTGAATTTCTAGCAAGCATGTGCCCATCTTGAAAACATTTTTTTTCTTGTAGTATGTTTAAATATTTGAAGGGTGTTGATTAAAAGTTAAATACTTGTTTGTTTAGCTTTAGTTCTTTAGACACATATAATCAACGTTCTCCAAAACCCTAATAAATCTGTTACTTACCTCGAAATCTAATTACCCAGACTACTAATTAGGTGAAAATGATTACTGGAAATGACTTCAAATGTCGGATAATAGTGGTAGAGCAGTTTTCTCAAGTTTGTCGATTTGCAAGTTGGTATTTTAGATGTTAAATGCACTGGCATCTTGGGTTTGCTGCAGTTGAAAATGGTTTAAAAAAAAAAAAAAAAAACTAAGATAATTAAAATCTCTACCGTGTAAAGGCAACAGTCTGGGGAGCGGTAGATTTCTTGAATTGTTTCTTTGTTTCTCACCAATAGGCTTTGTTATCAGCACTATTTATTTAGCCAAAGAGTTCTTTGTCTCTGCAAATGGCCCCAATCAAGTTTTGTTTGAGACAATTAGCTAGTGCCAGCCAAGGAGTCCTATGCAAATGTAGGGATAGGAATGCAATGTGTGCATTTGAAGGCGTGGGGTTTTGTTCTTGGGGGTGGGTGGGGGGGGAGGCTGATTGTAATTGCTTTCCTAGGGTACTTTTTTTTTTTTTTTTTTTCAAATTTAAGGTGGGGGCGGGGAAGACAGGTTTATCAGGTCTCCATCCTCTCTAGTTCCACAGTGACTGAGAAGGGGGTGTCAGTGAGCCCTTTAAAAGTCTCTACCTAGCCTAACCCGGGCTCTTTTTAAGTTAGTGGTGAAACGTGGGGGAGTTGCTGCCTCCGAAGCAGTAAACCAGCACCTCTGTTTGTTTTGTCCTCAGTTCTATCACCCCAAAGCCACCCACCAAGGACGCGGAATCTGTGCATTCCAGGCTAAGAGAGACCTTCCGGCTGGGTCCCCCGCTTTGGGCCGATTTTGCGCCTCCAAACAACCTTAGCATGATGTCTTATCTTAAGCAACCGCCTTATGCAGTCAATGGGCTGAGCCTGACCACTTCGGGCATGGACTTGCTGCACCCCTCCGTGGGCTACCCGGGTAAGTGAACCCTGTACCTTTCTTCACAACTGCCTCACGAGGATTTGACGGCCTTTTCGCGAACCCCCCTCGATCCCCCCAGTAGTGAGGATGGCGCTAGCTAGGCTCCCATTCTAGTTCCCCGCGAGGTCCCCGACTGGATTTTCTATCTGAAGCACCGAGTCACCGACCCGGGATTAGACCCACCCGGGAGACAGCGCAGGGGCTGGGGTACCCGAGTGGTTGCAGAAAATCACTTTGCTGTATTCTTAATTTGTGTGACTAGGGAACTCATTGGATTGGGGTGAGGAAGGTTAGTCCCTTGTCGTTAGGGCGACAAGCCTCTGCCCATATAACTGGATATCTGATTCCTCTTGGAGAAGACGCGTTTTCTCTACATAACTCCTCCGCCTTCCAGTTCTCCCCACTACGTCCAGGTTTCCCCTCTGACCTCCAGATCCTACACCTTTTAATCCCTAGAGGTCTGACATCCCTCAGGTGTGGGTACTTTTCTTTCTGATCAAATTTGTGTTTTAAAAAATCTTGAAGGGGAAGTTCAAATCATTATGGTCCCATTTTAAAGATGGAGAAACAAAGGCTGTTGGAGTCCTAACAACCATGGGAGCAGGATCGAGATTCCCTCCCTCAACCTGAGCTGCCAGTCCTCGAGGGACTTTTTTCTTCTTTTTTGCGTTGTGTTTTTAGGTTACTTTTGGAGGGTTTTATGCTTTTGCTTTGTTTGTTTGTTTTTGGTCTGGTTTGGTTTAATTTTGCTTTTACTTGGTTTGTTTTGCTAGCGCTGTAAACTACGTTGGGTTTGGAGAGATCTCGGAAGTGAGGCGGAGTGTGTTGTGTGGGGGTGGGGGTGGGGGAGGGGAGGTAATCTGGAAGGGGCAGAGTCTGTCATGGGACCGAGTCTGTCATGGGACCCCTTGTCTGTCACTGAAGCAAAAGCCTGGGGGTTGAGGGTTGGGAAGCTTTCTAGTTTCTGGGCTGAGGATATGGGAGCAGGAGTGATGGGGAGAGAGGAAGGATTTGGGGCACAGTGGAGACCCCCATGACTGAGCAACTGCTCCCCCACCCTAAAGGGCCCTGGGCTTCTTGTCCCACAGCCACCCCCCGGAAACAGCGACGGGAAAGGACGACATTCACCAGGGCGCAGCTAGACGTGCTGGAAGCACTGTTTGCCAAGACTCGGTACCCAGACATCTTCATGCGGGAGGAGGTGGCACTGAAAATCAACTTACCTGAGTCTAGAGTGCAGGTAAGGCAGCTGTAGGAAGTCATGCTTCCTGAGTGTGGAACCTCTCCCAATCCTCCACCAAAAAAAAAAAAAGCTTCTGTTTGAGGACCCAGGAGAGACCGGAGTCTTGGAGAGGAACCGGAGGGAAGGCATGAAAGTCTGGATTGAAATCCTCTTTCTGAGGCTACTAAACTCTTTACCTAGTGTCTTTTCAGTGCCTGATTCATCTCTCAGGTTCCTTCCACCTCCCCATTCTCACCCCATTCTGTAAAGTAGAGTCCTCTGGCTCAGGTTTCAAGGTAAAAGCTGCAACAAATCAAGATAAACGAAAGTTCTAGAACCTCTGGGAGTAAGATGGACAAAGATGTAGGCTTGAGCAGATTTTCAAGGGTATTTGGACTCTTCGCCTCTGCAGAAATCTCCCATTCTCATAGACTTTTAGGAGTGAAAGAAGGTTAGCGCTGGGACTATTTACATTGTTTACAGATGAAAAAAAAAGCATAAATGACTTATGCAAGGTCACACCTTGGTTTGGTGGCAGAGCCAGACCATATATAGAAGCAACTGACTTTCTTATTAAAGAAATCCATACAATAAGGGTGTATTTTGTTTGACATGTTAGGGATTGAGTATAATTCTCTACCTCTAACACAGTATCCCCAGTAACATCCCCTTTCCTTCAGTCTACTTAAGTCTAAGTTTGACCCCTTAGAGTTTTCATGAGCTGGAGAAGAATAGTCCACTCCAATTTGCCTAGAGAACAAGTCCCTTTGAGAGTTCTAGAAAGAATGCTTAGCACTCAAGCCACATAAACACATGGGACCCCTTCAGCTAAGCTATGTTTGTGAAAGTGCCAAACATCAGCAAGAATTGCAAACCCCAGAGAAAAGTGGAAGAAGTTCTAATGCTTGTGAGACTTGAACCAAAGTTACCACTGGCACTGAGTGGTTGGGGGTAAGGTCATCTTTGCTGACACCACTTACCAGAGTCACCAGTACAAGGAATTCATTCAGGAGGACAACTAAGCACCTATAGCCCAGAAAATAGTAGTAGTTTCTCTGATCAACCTTCTCACACACTAAATACTCTTCTCTTTGTTCTTCAACATAAACAGGGCTCATAAAGAAGATTTTTAAGTTGTACACAGAGTCAAGTAGCAATAAGTATTGGAATTGGAATCATGTGCTGAGTGGTACTACCCTTAAAGCAGACTCTAGTCTCACAGAGTTGAGACTAGCAGAGCACATACAGGTTACTTCACTTACCACAAAGCTTTCTGTAAATAATGCTTTCTGATCTTCTTCTATAGGATAGCTCATCTTTTCCTTGGAGCTGTGTAAGTCAGTTTTGACTCATAGTGAACCTCTATAGGGTTTCCAAGACTGTAAATCTTTATGGAAGCAGAAAGACTCTTCTGTCTCCCATGGAGCAACTGGTAAATTCGAACTATTAACCGTGCAGTTAGCAGCCCAGCTCGTAATTCGCTGTGCTACTACGGTTCATATTCTGATATGTAACTGGGTCTATTTGTATGTGAGATTAGCAAAGATGAAGGAGTAAACTGGAGACTTTTAGGCATATCATTTGAGTAATTAAATTGTATTGTTCTGGGCTACCCATAAAGCAGGTCAAGTGTTTTTAGACAGAGCAATCCCAGCTTTCTTAAGACTCCAGGAATATATATACAAGTGCTACAAGAGGATGTTCAATGGTGGAGAGATTGCTACCTTAGCTCATATGTTCATGCAGGACAGATTTATAGTTTCTGAGTCACTCTGGTCTGTGAAGAGTTATTGTACCCACATTAAAGAAATTTCTTTCCCTTTCAAGGTATGGTTTAAGAATCGAAGAGCTAAGTGCCGCCAACAACAGCAGCAACAACAGAATGGAGGCCAAAACAAAGTGAGACCTGCAAAAAAGAAGAGCTCTCCAGCTCGGGAAGTGAGTTCAGAGAGTGGAACAAGTGGCCAGTTTACTCCCCCCTCTAGCACCTCAGTCTCAGCCATTTCCAGCAGCAGTGCTCCAGTGTCTATTTGGAGCCCAGCTTCCATCTCCCCACTGTCAGATCCCTTGTCCACCTCCTCTTCCTGCATGCAGAGGTCCTATCCTATGACCTATACTCAGGCTTCAGGTTATAGTCAAGGATATGCTGGCTCAACCTCCTACTTTGGGGGCATGGACTGTGGATCTTACTTGACCCCTATGCATCACCAGCTTCCTGGACCAGGGGCCACACTCAGCCCCATGGGTACCAATGCGGTCACTGGTCATCTCAATCAGTCCCCAGCTTCTCTTTCCACCCAGGGATATGGAGCTTCAAGCTTGGGCTTTAACTCAACCACTGATTGCTTGGATTATAAGGACCAAACTGCCTCCTGGAAGCTTAACTTCAATGCTGACTGCTTGGATTATAAAGATCAGACATCCTCGTGGAAATTCCAGGTTTTGTGAAGATCTGTAGAACCTCTTTTTGTGGGTGATTTAAAAAAAAAAAAAAATTTTAAATACTGGGCTGGACATTCCAGTTTTAGCCAGGCATTGGTTAAAAAAGTTAGATGGGATGAAGCTCAGACTCATCTTCTGATCAAAGTTCCAGGAGGCAGAGAAGGAAAAATGAAGGGCCTTCAGAGAGGCCCAACAGCCAACAACCTGAAATGGACAACTCAATCTACTTAAGATCCTGTCATAGTTTTAGATCATTGGCTTTCCTGATTTGCAAAGTGATCAAAAGTGTTCTAGTCATGTACAACCAACCACCACCCAAAACAAAATCAAATGAAGCTAAGTTGTGAGGGAAGAGAGGAAAGGTCATTCGCAGCCTTTCAAAAAGCAGAGGTGTTTCAATGTTTTAGCCAATCCTTGGTTGATTCTTCGGAATGGACAGTGTCCCAAGCTCATTCACTTTTCATGACCAACTGGTAGTTGGCACTGAAAAACTTTTCAGGGCTGTGTGAATTGTGCGACTGATTGTCCTAGATGCACTACTTTATTTAAAAAAAAATAATGTTCATAAGGAGTCAATATGTAGTTAAGAGACAATCAGTGTGTGTCTTATATAAATGGTACATCTGTGGTTTCTAATCTGTGCTAGACTTCAAAACTGTGATCTCCTGTTATTGTATGCAACCTTGAACTCCACCTCTGCAGGGGTTCTTCTGTGATTAAATAGGTTATAATTATAAGCAAAATTCAGAGCAACTGAGTACTTATCTAAAAAGATTACCTTTGGCTGGAGGTGACCTGCACTGAAACTTTACCACAAAATATCTCTGGACAAGTGAAGTGAGAGAAGAAACAAAAGAACACGAATTCATCTGTAAATTTACTGTTGGTAAACCTAGCAGTAAAGACACTGGTCAATTGCTCTGACCCTGATGAATTTATAAACTGAGATCATTCTCGTTTATGCTTGCAGATGTTAACTGGAAAAGTTATATATGCATAAACCTTTTCTTCCTGGATTTGGCAGATATGTATAATTATATTAAAATGGCTCTAGCACAACATTGGGTCCAGTTTAATTTTATACCACTTTTTAATGAATCAGAAGCCCACATTCAACCTTTTGTTTCCCAAACATGTTCTTTTATTTTTTTTTAAGACTGAGAGGAAATTAACAAAACTTTAATTTTAATTATTATTATTATTTTGCTAATCTATGGCTGAAGTAGAGATGAATGGCAGTGGTCTGTAAACTTTTGTGACTTTTGTCAGGTTTGCTCTGAGACTGAATTTACACAGTCTAGTAATAAAAGACGATCAAGTTGTTGTAGTTTTCTCCTCTTGGCAGCACACCCTAAGTTTCTTAGGCACTTTATTAGTTATGATTTTCCATAAATCAATTTTTTTTAAGCGGGAGGGAGAGAACTGGAGTACCTCAGAGAAAATGAGAATGACAAGAATTCCTTGTTTCTCTTCTCTTATTTGTGTAAGAGGATTTTTTTTTTTTAACTTCCAAAAAATCCGAGGTAAACATGAGAGGTAGTGTAATCAGAATCTGAAAGCAATTCAGGCAGAAGTGATTTCTGAACAAAAGAGTTTCAGAAAAGTTTTAAAACCTATAATTTTAGCACTTGAACATAAGGCACCTAGTCTTTTTTTTTTTTTTCCCCTTAAAGAAAGTGCTGAGGACAAAAATGGGTCCCTTTTCAGTTGTACCTGCATTTTGTGGACCAATCATCTGAAAAAACAAATTGAGCAATGATCAAGATGCTCTGCAGCAATAGTTAATTTCATTTTGAACATTTTATCCTGCTAGATCTGACCAAAATTCAGTGACTCTTGAGTGTAATTTTATAAAATGAAGGTTAGCAGTTGCAACTATTTTGTTTTCTGGTTATTTTATCCCTCCCCCCTTCCCCCCACCTGGCTGTGCATGCTCCCTTGAGCCTTGCATATTCTTGCCCGATGATAATTGTTTTTGTTTTACTGCTAAGGAAATGCAGTTTACACCAACACTTAAGGAAAAAACTTGCCCGCCAGATTTTTCCAGCATCTACTGATAATGCTCACCCTACTGTGAGTTCACAAGGTGGGCAGTTCAAATCCACCAAGCTGCACAGGGAAACCGCCTCGAGGGCACTTAACAACAACTTATGCTTTACACCTAAGTGATATTATTGCTTTGTGAAATCCCAGATTCAGTCTTAATCTGCCAGTTTTTCTAAAGCAATAGTAAAGCAGACCCCACTCCTATGCAAAGTAATCAATTTCTCACACGGCTTTCAGTTTTCAGGACAAAGGGTCAGAAAAGATTAGTCTTTCTTTAAAAACAACAACTACAATAAATATTACCAAATACACAGTTATCAGTTTGTTCTCCTGAAGCTTAAAAAAAAAAAAGTCAGAAAGAAGAGGTGCTGAACACCCTCTGAAACTAATTTTCATCACCTTTGCACAACTTCGTTTAACTGAGACCACGCAGTTAAAATCCCTTTAAATTGAAGGCAAAGTAGAAATGAATTCTCCCTGACCGCAGGCAACGAAGGGAGGGGAAGGAGGGCGGGAAGCTAGCGCGGGTTTAAAGACATCCAGAGAGTTTTGATCACCCCTCCTAGTCAAGGCGGGATTTAATGAAGTTACGCACGACAATGATGGTGCTTGGTATTAAAATGACGGCCTGCTCCAGCGGCTTCACTGAGATACTTCAACTGCATATTCGCGATTATCAAAATATAATCTTTGTTTTGGAGGGCGGAGATGAGGGTGGGGGTAGTTGGCTTTACAAAGATCTGTTGCCCCAACCTTTTATCTTTCCCACAGAGAATCTTGGCCCTTTGTATTTCACCTTGGGAGTGTTTCTTCCCTTCCTAGATAAGAAGCGAAATTCAATCAAGTCAATTAACTTCCAGCTTTCGAAAGCTCCGGGTTTTAGATAATGGTCAGTTTCCTCGCTTCTCGCCCACAATGTTCCCTCTAATCTCGCTTTTCCTGTGCGTGTCCCCACTCAGTACTGGCCCTTGGCAGGACTGGGAGAACGTGGCGGCCCACGGGGTGCGGATCCTCCTCTCCCCGGAACCTCGGCGCAGTCTCTTAAGCGTTTTGTTTTCTAAATCTTGACCTTGCCCCGGAAACTACTCATGTCTCTGCCCCGGCTGAGCAGACTCGGGACAGAGGCTCGAACCAGCTTTCCAGCGGGCCGGGGCGGGGTCGAGATTGATGGCTTGCTGGGAGGCCCCTCGCCCTCAAGTCCAGCCATCTCACTTTCTGATCAGAACCCAGACGCTCCTTGAGCCGCACCCACTGCAAACGGCCTAGTCCTCAGGCCTGGGGCACCAGCCGAGCGTTGGCTTTGTAGCGCCTGGGTCGGAGGAAGAGCTGGTGCCGCCGGGGCTCCAAAACCAACACTGAATCCCCTTCCCCAGGCAGAGACATCCAAGCCTGAGGGGCGCCTCTCTGACGGCGAATCTCCAGGCCTCGGTGGTACTGCCCACCAGTCCGGCAGCCACACCCATAGGAGATGACTGGGAGCTGGGCAGAGCCGCCGGGAGAGAGCTGCCCAGGGTGGCCGCTCGCTTCCCACATCTCCCTGGAGGAAGCGCAGCCGACGGCTGGCGAGGGGACCTGCTACCGCCTGCGAGGGACTAGGCCGCTGCTGCCACGGCTGGAGCTCCAGCCTCCAGCGCTCCGGGCAGAGGTGGTGCCAACATGGGACCCAACTGGGCCTGCCTCGAGTCCCCGGGGGTCCTCCCAGGAAAGGAGGTGGGTTGATCGACCCACGGAGCCTTACAGAGGGGTGACTAAAGATTCACACTTCCTCTCGCTTCACCCCTTTTCTAACACACCCGCGATTTCGTATTTGAACTGAGTGTACTGGGACCCGGCGTAGCCCTAGCCAGGCAGCCCTGCACCCTGGAGGTCGGCTCTCCAGGTAGGAAGCGGCGTCTTGGGCGTTCCGGGAAGCTGCAGGGCAGAGCCGCGGGCCTCAATCCGCCCCATTTAACCAGAAGCTCGCTAATTTTTAGAACGGGGGTACCGGCGGCCAACTTGGGCGCGCACCCCACTGTTTCGAACCCGCATCTCAACTTTGCTGTCATTATCCGGACAAAGCTGTAACCCAAAACCAGGCGTATCCTAGTTAGGTGGTAGTTTGTTGCATACAGAGATGTGTTTTAATCATGCAAAAAAGAAGAAACACAAAGGAGTCAGGAGACAGGCGCATCCCACGCAAATGGAAGCTGACATTGTAGAAAACCAAACTGGAAACATAATGAAGGATCGAGTTCAGCCAAGACCTGGGCCTACTGCCTTCCCTTCTTTGAAACCTGTAAGAAGGACAGCTCGCTCCCTTTGATGATCCAAGCTCCCATCATGCATCTGCAGGTCCAGCTCGGCTCCGAACTCCTACTTTTCCTCTCAACTGCCCGCACCTGGTCAGCGCAGCGAGCCTTGATTAAATAATATTCTCCTGGTCGCCCTGTTTCCTCCTGGGTTAGTGTGATACAAAAGACGGGGAGGTCCTAGGACTTGCCCTGGGATGACGGGAAGGGGTAAAATCCCGAACAAAATCCACTCCGATGTTTTTTGGTATTAGGCGCTGAAACGGCACCGATTATAGGATTTGTCTCGGACAGAATTAACGTTACACGTGAAACCGTAGTGTATTGAAACACGCTGTACCAGACTGCTTGGAGCATCTCTTTCAAACTGCCTGTTAATAGCAATACGAGACTTTAAAAGAAATGAACATTTTCCCCCACCCCCCACCCCCGATTAAAATGGTGGAAGCAGTTCGAACGAAACGGAACCGAATCCGGGAGCTGCTGGAAGTATCTCTAGACAGATGAGGTAGGGGAGGAGGAACCAGGCACAGGTTGCAAAGGGCTTCTGCTAAACTGCATTCCCACAACCAAGGGAATTACCCCAGTTCTAAAGAGCATCCGCCGGATTTCCTCTATCACAAGCAGGGCGTTTCATATTTAAAACCCAACCACTGTCTACTGTAAACAAACAATAAGCAAATTCAAATAAAGGAGACCTATCAAGATCAACCCTTGTGGTCAAAGATAACTGCAAGTCCCAGCAAGGCCAGGCTATCTCGAGGGGGAGGGTCGGCCTCGATTTTTGTTTTTCTCCTCGAGAGAAAGTTCAACAGTGTGAGGTCTATGATTCCCTTTGATTCCTTAGTCTTCCCCTTTACCTGCAATTTTTAGTGAAAACACGGTATTTTCGAGGGCCAGGGAGAAGGGGAAGACAAAGAAAACAAAAAGGAATCTGGCAGCAATATAATGGTTTGTGGCCAAAGTTTGACTCCTGTATCAGCAGAGAAAAGTGTGTCCAAGGCTCAGATGCAATCTTCTGCCATTCTGCCTGTTTTACTTTCCTGCCGCGGGGGTAGGAAGGGGACCTTTCAAATCTTTCCTACTCAACTTGACATCAGTAAGAGACATTTCCAGTCCAGGACTACTTTTAAACCAAGATGCCAATTTTTAGCAGCCTTAGATTGTTCCTCCTCCCTCTTGGGCTGCCGTAGAAGGGACCAGCAAATCCCGCCTTTGGGAGCAAGAGGAACTGCAGCTACTGAGCCCCGCGGGCCTCCTTTCTCAGGTTCCCGAGGTCATGGCCCGAAAGCACCCCTGGAAAACACTCCTGGGGGGGCCTGTACCCTCGCAGCTAGGATCTCCGGAGGCCTGGGGCTTCATTGAAACCAGAAAACCACTCGTCCCAATCTCAAATTGTTAAAACCTGTTCCTAGAACCAATAGTGCGTTTTCAGCTCATGGACCATTAATAAAAATCTACTTTAACATTCAAATGGACCTGAAATGCGTTGATAGTGGATTACTGGGGCCTAATGGACGTCATGGAGTCCTAGTGTGGCGCTGTGGGCTACTGGGTCAGACTGCAAAGTCGTTTGAACAGCAAATTCGGTGGTTCAAGCTCACCAGCTGCTCCTTAGAAACCCTATAGGTCGCTATGGGACGGAATTGACTCGACAGCATTTAACGACAACAATGGACGTCGTGTGTGATAACATGGTCCCTGAGTAGTGAGGTCTGGAGTGGG